GATTAAAAAAAAAATATATATATATATATATATACATAAACAATTTTGTATAATCATGCAATCGCAAAGATAATCAACTGAGAACTTGCCCAAATGCTATTGTTGTCGGTGTCTTTATTGAGCAACTACGGTAAATATTAATTACAGAGTATATATGTATATATAAAATACGATGTACAATTTAAGCACAGAATTGGTAATACCTTGGCGTTTAATTTGTCCATAAGAACATCTATCTGTGTCTGCATATTTTTCATTTCCACTGCGTGTTTTTCCTGCGCCTGCTTCAAAAACTTCTCATGTATCTTATCATTCATTTGCAACACTTGTGCTCTTTCCAGTACAGCAATTTTTTGTTGCAAATCCATGACAGAGCCCCTCGCAATATTTAAATCTTCTGATATCTATAAAAACAATTTTATTGATATTGATATATTCAATATTAATAAGAATAAAGTTCGAATACGCATCTTACATTTTGATTTGTTTTTTCCAAAACTGCATTTCTTTCTTTTAGAGATTTCATTTGTGTTTGTAGATCAGCTATTTCGGCCTTAGCATCAACTAAAAAAAACAAAATAAAAACTTCAATTAACACAATAACCTGTTGGAATGACACGTAGCTCTGTGAAAACGATCGACTCGTAATCGACGGTTCTGGATTCAATCTCAACTCTCATCCCATATATATATATATATATATATAAAAATGTACTTTAAGATTTTAACTTTAAGATTGTAACTTTAAGATTTTTTCCTTACCCAATGCCTCCTGCGCTTGATTCCTCGATATATTAGTTCTATCGACTTCCGCCTGTAAGAGCATCAGTCTCCTGCTCATTTGGTTTTTCTCGTCCTCTTTTTCCAACTGCAACTGTTGGAGTTCTTCCGTCAAGCGACTGATCTCCCGCATTCTGACCATATATAATATTTCCAGTTGTTCCTTACTATTATACTCTGACGTTTTGTATGCTACAGCGTCGTCCATTGGCCTGCCATTTGGACTAGTCTTATAGCAATGATTCATGTGATCCGAGGTAGCGTTGTCGCCTCCGCCAAACTCATGAATTTGCTTACTTTGTACATTATTTTCATATATGTCATTAATACCATTATTGGAGTATTTCCGGGATATATGAGTATTGTAATGATTAGATGGCGTCTCATAGTTGCAAGGATAATTCTCGCTGAACGTACCCTCCTCAGCCGATTGTGGAAAAATCTTGCGAGGATAGCCGGTTGAAGGTTTTGCCAATTCGTATGGCGTCTCAATGATACTATTGCCATCATTGAATCTATTATTATCATATGGCGTCCCCGTTTGTCTGTACAAATCAAAGTCTGGCTGTATAGTTCCACTGCCAATCTCGGAGTCTGATCTATGATTCGTTATCACATCACGATCGTAACTGTTCAGATTATCGACATGATCATAATTGTTCAGATTCTCCATCCGATCATAAACATCAAATTCTTTCTGCAAATGTACCATTGCTACCTGTCCTTTGGGCGTAATTGGTTCCAGATCAGAGTTGACCATTGTATCGATATGGTCAGTGTCTCTGGTGTTATCATGTTGATAATGACTACTATTGATAGAACTGGCATCATTTTCCAAATCATCAAATTCCTCATCCAGGCGATTCTGTATCTGAAAGGACAAGAAAGGATATATGCTAAAATTTCATGCTCCTTTCTTTTTATTGCAATATAAACTTCTTCTAAGATTACATGCAATTCTATACATAATTTCTCCTATCATATAAGACAACATATATATCATCAATATATTGATCTATTTGCAACAAAGTTATACAATAAACTTTCATCTGCTCTTTCCTATCCGTTATACACAATAATAAAACTGCTCGATAGGGATTATCTCTACACAGTGGACCCTATATCGTTCTCCTAGCATAGAGAATAGCAGATCTCAAAAAAATTCTCTGCAGCAAAATATTACACTGGTGAACCTTGTTTAATAATTTCCATCTTCTATGTGGTGCAAAGTATGATACAAAATTTCTCTCTCTACAACCAACTATTCTATGCAGGCAAACGATGCCATCAATGAAAGAGAAAAGTTGATCTGTCCGAGAAAATATTACCGAGCGATATTACCTCTTCGTTGAGTCGCCTCTTATCCTCCTGCTCTTCGTCCTCCTCGAGTCCCTGCGTGTTTAGCTGAATGCTGTCCGAGCCCTGAAACAGGCTCAGACCCGGGCCTGTCTCCATATCCTAAGCTAGCTCTCGCATGTGGCTGAGAGCTCACGATGGACTTACGAACGCGTTTATTGTGTGGAACATATTTTTGTTTATAACGCCATAACCTAGACGCAACAAGTGGGTCACGGTGCGTACATACAATATTACGCGGCAGCGGGCCCCGCTATCGCGTCGCGACGACAGGGATTGCTGAAGGATATGCGTCGCAATGCGCACATTCCTCGCGGGAATCTACGGATGGTTGCGATCGCGGCTATTGCTGTTGGCTGCTGCTGTTGCAGACGCTGCTGCGCGATTATTTACACACGCCACTGTATATACTGTGCACATACGCGAGAATCCCTGGAGCGCGCGCGCTTGTAAACAATCCGTGGAGAATCGGTTGTATGTACATACATACAGGCGGTATATCATAGTACGCAAGGCCCGTAAGCGGAAATGGTAATGGGCTCCCGCGACCGTCACTCGCCTCCGATTGGCCGTCGTCGATAGTTATCACCAGCTATCACTAGAGCGCGATCGTCCATTTACATACCGCCTCCGCTACCTTTGCTTTTCCTTCATGAGAAATGGTGTAGGTCAGGCTTATCCAAAATCAGCTCCAGAGTCAAAACACAAAGTCGTCGATGTAAAAAAATTTAATATAAGGTTTTAGGAATTATAAACTAAGATAAGCATCACTTAAATGCATATCAATATTTTACAATATATAAATCCTCTTCCCCTCCCCCCAAATCTTATCCACATTGAATTTTTTTTGTATTGATGGCTTTGCATTTTGGCTCTGAAACTCAAATTGGATAGGTCTGGTGTAAGTGCTCTTCAAAATATTATATACTGTGCCATTAGCTAACTAATCTATACTACTGCTGGTAAATGTCTATTTTGGCCGAAGAGAGAGTATGATATCCAGCAAACGAGAATGGATTGAAATGAATTGAAATGGATTCAGGTTTTCAGAACTATTGATTCACGAATGTTAAAATGAATGCTTTTCAATCTTGAATACATTTTTATTCATTTATAGGAATTGCATGGAGCATATCTCTATGCTTTATAATCTAAAAATAATATTAGCTTTTTCTGTGCGTTGTGAATACTGTTCAATTCAAAATTTAAAAAAATGCGATTTTTCAATT